CTGTCGGCATGGGCCTGCTACAGTAGGGGCCCGACCACAAGAAACCTTCCACAAGAAACCCAACCCTGAGACCCCAGGTCGTCCATCGATTTTTGGTGCGGGAACGTCGCGCTCTCCATGGCAGAACCATCGAAACCCAAAAAAACCAGGGCACCCTGGAGGCAAACATGCTATTTCTTGGCATAGGTCCCAGCATGGGCTCACACTGTATCGACGGCACCGCCGACACTGCCAAACCCAGCCGAGCCAGTGTCCAACCAGCCCAAGTACTATGCGAGACAAGCGACGCAGATTCGGAGCGTCAGGCGAACTCTGGCGGCGCCGTGTTTGGCCCAAAAGTCAACGTGGAAGCCGAAGGGCCGATCGCAGCGCGAGAGGCCGTACCTCGCTCCCCGGCTTCCAGTGCCAAGCACGATCCAACTACCCGGCATGGCAAGCCTCGCGCCCCGGGCATCAGACACCGGCCAGTCCTACCCAACCCGCGGCCACCCCAGCACTTCTCATTGGGCATCTGCCGACAAAAAAACGCACAAACGAGCTGGTTTGGGAGTTGGTTCGCGCCTTGGCGTCACACACCACACGCACTCTCACACTCTCTCACTCTCTCACACGCACACGCACTCACACACACACACGCGCACACACAGACATGCACGCACGCACGCACGCACGCACGCACACACACACACGAACGCGCACACACGCTTTCTCTCTCGCTCTCTCTCTCTCTCTCGCACACGCGCGCGCACGCACGCACGCGCTCCCTCTCTCTCTCTCTCGCACACACACACACTCACACACCCGCACGCACTCACAACGCACACAACGCACACAACGCACAACACATACACAACACACACGCGCACACAATACACAACACACACACACAACACGCACACAACATACACGCACACACACACACAAAAAAAAAAAAAAAACTCGCACACACAACATACAGCACATAACACACACCATCCAACCTACAATACACAACACACACGCACACGCGCGCGCATACACCCGAACGGTACACACATCTACGGCGTTTAATTCTAAAGTGTGGCTCTCGCCTGATCTCCCCAGACTGCACGGTGCCGACAGATGCGCGCATGAAGGCGGCCGCAGTGGCGGGGGCTTGCTCGCATGTTACGACCCTCCAGCTCCAAAGCCGCAGCAGCTACAAACATGGAAGGCGCCCCGTCGTTAAGGCCTGGCCTTTGCGCGAGGAGTCCTGACATTCGGTGGTCCCGAAAATCTCGATGCACTACAGCTGAAAGAATGGAGGGCGCGCCCTTTTCAAAATGTCGCTTTCGCCTGAGAAATTCGGTTGGTGTTAACGCACGGCCGAAACATGCCACACACTCCACAATCTGATGGTACATGTACAAATATATACAATTACCAACCGCTGGCAGACCAGCCGTACACGAACCGCGACTCAGTTGCCATTGGTGCACATCCCAGGGAGAGCAAGGCGATGTCCGCCAAGACTTCCGCTGGTCCTGTTACCGAGAAGCTCCAGGGTGTTCCAGCGCCAGCCATGCTCCAAAAGCGGCGCTGCCTGCACGGACTGCAAGGGCCTCCCTAAACTTGAGCAGGGACCGACCGTCCCGGTATTCCTATAGGCCTACCACGACATGTTCTTAGAACTCGAAGATGTTCTGAAAACAAAAACAACGCTTTTAGAACATAAACCCGATGCGCTCAAACAAAACAGTCTCAGCATGAAATGCTCTAAGAACATTTCGTGCAAACCACAGAAGGCTCTTAGAACATTCTTTGGTGGGCCTATAGGGCCTATAGGCGAGCCAGGACGCTTCGCCACTGCTTGATCAACGGCCTGTCTGTGAGGCTTGCACGTAGTACTGTTAGCGCCCGGTGGAGGACGCCAGGTCCCCAAACATTGTTGAACAAGGACCGACCGCCCCGGCAGTCCTGTAGGCGACCGCCCTGGCATTCTGGTAGGCCTACCACGAGACGCTCTCATAACAAGAAGCCGATGTGATAGCACCATACGGTCTGAGCAGCACGTGTTATACGAAACCTCCTGGCAAATCACAACAAAAAACAAGAACATCCTTTGGTAGCCCTCTAGGCAAGCCAGGACGCCTCGCCACTGCTTGACATCTGCCCCCATCGTGGCCCCCCCATCGTTAACTTCGCAAAGCTGTTTACGACACTCTGCCGCAGCTGTGCCCTGTTTTGTAAACGTGGCGCGGCCGCGCCTTAGTACTATCGAAGACGCACGCATCAAGGCGCGCACGGATCTCCCCGTGCCGGCCTCATATGGTGCGGGTACCCACCGACCGCAGTGGAGCAACACATACTGCAATATGAGACCGTTTTTCTTGTTCGCGACAACGCATGTTGCCGGCCCCGGCCGCTCCCAGCCGGGTGACGTCCCGATTCGTGCTGGCGTCCGAGCTGCCTCTGGTTATCCCTAAATATTCCCGCACGATTCGTGCTGACGTCCGAGCTGTCCTTGGAGATCAAGGGCGCGCTGCGGCATCCTGCTCCTCCTCTCGCGCAACCCCTGCTCCGCTCGGGCACACTCTGATGTGGACTACGAATCAGAAAAACATTTCTGCGGCGACTCATGGGAGTCTCCTAAACTTGAAGGTCGCTGGGGGGGCAGCGTTGTTTCCAGGGCTAGATCCCCGTGCGCTCGGCGGGCGCGCTTGATCGGTCAACGGCAACTCTTCCAGCCGCCCTTCGCGGGAAGCTCTGATTTCAGGTCTGCTCTTGCCGACGATTGGGCTGCTCATGCTTGCTCTTGCCCTACAGATGCATTGCCCTCTCCCCCGTCGCCCCAGAAGCACAGATCGCGTTCGCTGCCCCGCAGCGAGCTTCAATCCTATACCCTCTTGTTGGCTCTTGCGACCCCCCTGCTGCGCCCCCCTCCTGCGTCTCTGCAGCATCCTGCCGCCCTTCCTGCAACGCCTGCCTCCCCCTGCAGCTCCTGAAGCGTGCGGGGCTTCCTCTGGCGACCCCCACTGCCTCCTCCTCCCTCCTCCTCCTCCTCCTCCTCTCCTCCCTCCTCCTCCTCCTCCTCCTCCTCCTCCTCCTCCTCCTCCTCTCCTCCTCCTCCTCCTCTCCTCCTCCTCCTCCTCCTCCTCCTCCTCCTCCTCCTCCTCCCCCTCCCCCTCCCCCTCCCCCTCCCCCTCCACTCACGCGCCCGCTCACTCACAGCATGACGACGCCAGGGCCCTGCTGCGGATCCTCGGCCCAGAGAGGAGAGAACAATCAGGGGTCGACTCCACCTTCCCTCCTCTCGGGGGGGTGGGGGCCCTGGGACACACAATTAAATACACACAAATAAAAGGATTCCCCATATTTTCCCGGTTTCTGTCTCCCCCCCCACTTCCCATATTTTCCCATATTTTCCTAGGGGTCGACGATTAATTGTGTCTGTGTGTTTTTTTCCCCTCCTGAGTGTCCCTGGTCCAAGGTGTCCCCAGCGTTTCGCTCCATTTTGGAGCTCCCGGGAACCTCTGGGCCTCATGTGGGGTCCTGTGGAAGCCGTGGGAGTCTTCGTGGAAATCATGGGGACACCGTGGGCCGGGGACAACTCTGGCAACACCCGATCTTCCTCCCACGACGACGACGCGGGTCACGCACGGGCCTTTGGATGGGCCAGAGCCCGAGCCCCCAGCGGCAGTTGAGGGAGCCAGGCTGCCCAAGGGCCTTCGGCGCCGAGGATCACCCTCTGCTGCTGCTGCTGCTGCTGCTGCTGCTGCTGCTGCTTCACTACCTCCTCCTTCGTATTCTTCCTGGAGTGCAGCTGGGAGTGGAGCTGAGGCTGGACAAGGGGTATGGACGAGGAGGCGGAGGAGCAAGAGCAGGACGAAGCGCAGCCGAAATCCCTCACTGAGGTGGAGGACGAGGAGGATCATCGGTGACGAGGAGGATCATCGGTAGCCCCAGACATCCCATGTTTTGGTTCCTTCAATATCCTTTTCCTAGAAGGTGATTGCTGTCATAAAGCAGGGGGTGGTGGTGACTCGTCGGGGCCTTCTTCGATAACTCCCTCGCCGCACCATTAGGCGCGTCAACTCGACGGGTCGTGCACTTCGCTCCTCCCTGCCCCTGCTTCATCCTGCCCCTCTACCATCATCAATCGTTCCGCCTTCCCTGATCAGTCCCTCCTCCGCTCACCACTCTCGTCCTTCGTCCCTACCTCCACTCTCCTCCCTCTCCTCCGATGCTGTTTGCGTCGGAACCGCAACTTCTGCAGCGATCGACGTTGACCCCCCCAGGGAAAAACAACGCAGCAACACAAACATTCTCATTCAACCTCCATCCCCTCCTCCTCCCCCTCCGTTCTCCATCCTCCATCGTCCCCCTCGCAACCTCCCTCCTCCTGCTCCGCCCCAACCTCTCTATCCCACCCGTCCTCCCACCTGACTCCTCGCCCCTCCCGTCCTCCCTCTCGACGTGGCCAACAGGCGTGACGCCTCTCGCGACTGCGCCCACGGCGACGACGACCGACCGACCGATCGACCGAGCCCCGGACCTGACCTGGGGTGCGCTCCGGCCTAGAGCCTCGAGGGCGGATTCTCGCAGGGGAACGAAGAATGACACAAAAACACGGAGGTCCGCGCGGATTTCTCGGATCTGCGCTGGACCCCCCCCGGCGGCGCCTCTGGCGCCGCCCCTGGCGCCCTCCGCGCGCCGGGGAGGGGGGTCCAGCGCCGATCCGAGGACTCCGCGCGGACCTCCGAGCTTTTGTGTTCCTGTCGTTCTTCGTTCCCCTAGGGTGCTCGGACCCGGGGACTCGGGGGGCACCCCAAGAGAGGCGCCATCAATGGGGGGGACACAACACCTGGAGGCGGAGCGGCAGGGGGGGGGGCACATCGCCGATGTATCGGCGAGCCTGCTAGAGAGCGAGACGGCGCTGAATGGGCGACTCGGGGGCCGACGCATCCCACCCCGAGCCTGTACCAACCGGCCTCGGACTGGTCCCCATCCCGAAGACCGACAAGCCTGAGGCGATGACAAATCTTGGGGATAAGCCCTCAGGAGCCGAGGGAACCCGAAGATCGGCACCGAGGCGAGGAGATGCCAGCCATGGGGATGGGGACGCCTGCTTCGGGCTGGTGATACACTCCGCCCGACGCCGCCCCCGACAAAAACGTCCAGGATGCCACGATCCTCGGCCCCCGGCCCTCCTCCCTGGGCGCGGCCTGGACAGGCGCCCTCACGTCTTTGGCGAGCCCTCGGTGGCCACTCGTGGACGCCTTCCTGTACCACCCTGCTGGCCCGTGCGAGCCGACGCTCCATCGACGTCTATCGACGCCAGGTCGGCGCTGTCGCATCGATTGCCAGGCGCCACTCGGCGCCAGCGCACTCAGAGACGCGGCGGCGAGCGAGGGGGGGGAAGTGAGAAGGGGCGGGCCTTCTCAGAAGGCTCTTTAGTTCCCCCGGCCCTCAGAGAAGTTTTCTGAGCCGTCCCCGAAGACACAGAAAGTCTCTCAGAAGGCGCGAGGCCTTCTGAGAAGCTCCGCCGCCTTGTGAGAAGGCCTTCACCTTCTCACATCCCCCCGTCGCTCGCCGCCGAGAGACAGAATTACCCGTCGGTCGGAATACGTAGGTAGAACCATGAAGTGGGAAGGCTTTGGAAGTAAGCTGGATTCCCGCCCGCCCCCTGAAGAGGAGGGAAGAGGGAGGACAACTCGACTCTTGAAGTCGGAAGGCGGCTAAAATAAATTGGGATCTGGATGCCCCAACATACCTACTTTCGACGACCGGCGAGAAGGAGGAGGAGGAGAAGAGGAGGAGGATGAGGAGGAGGGGGAGGAGGGGGGAGGAGGAGGAGGAGGAGGAGGGGGAGGAGGGGGAGGAAAAGGAGGAGGAGGAGGAGGAGGAGGGAGGAGGAGGAGGAGGAGGAGGAGGAGGAGGAGGAGAGGGGAAAAGGAGGCGAAAGGAGGAGGAGGAGGAAAGAATAAGAGGAGGAAGAGGAGGAAGGAGGAGGAGGAGGAGGAGGAGGAGGAGGAGGAGGAGAGGAGGAGGGAGGAGGAGGAGGAGGAGGAGGAGGAGGAGGAGGAGGGGGAGGAGGAGGCGGAATCACGAGATGACAGCAAAACTCCCACGACTTGCTGCCGAACGCGAGCCCCTTCCGTGGCCGGCCCCTCGCCCTCGCCCTCGAGGCCCCCTCGCCCTGGAGGCCCCCTCGAGGCCCCCTCGGGCCGCCCGGCCCCCGCTCCCCGGAGCGAGGCCGCGGGGCTCCGCCGTGGGTGCCCGGCGGCCGCCGTGCGGGGCCCCCGGGAGGCCCGCAGGACGGGGCCGGCGCTGCAATCTTCTCGAGCCGGGCGTCGTCGCCGACGGCGATGCACCGGCGATGAGGCGTCGACGTCGGCGATGTACCGGCGACGTCGGCGTGGGGAAAATCGGGCTCCGCATCGAGCCGCATCGTCGATGCATCGGCGATGCGGCGCGAGCCTCCGACCCCATCTACTCCGACTCCATCTAGGAGGTCTAGACGGGGCCAGCTCTCCAGATCCTGGCGTTCAGTCGGGCGTGTCCCCCTAAAGGAGATTTTCCACGAGAAATAAAGATACCCCCAACAATGCCCCAAAAAGGTCAAAAAATACCCCACAACTAGTCCCCAGACTGTGTTTGGACTATTGTTTGACTACTTTTGGAAGGTATTTTTATTTTTGTCGTCGAGAATCCCCCTGTAGGGGGACAGGCCCGACTTAACCCTGGCGCTGCAATCTTCTCGAGCCAGGCGTCTTCGCCTGTTCTTTTCGGGAGCGGCCAAGAGGGGGGTGTCCAAGTGATTAGATGGTTTTGAACCAACACGACTATGGAGCGAACCCGCCGCTCACAATCTCTCACAGTTCCTTTCCAAGGGTATGTAGAATGCGCTGCTACACTCCTCCTCGGCCAGGCGCCCTCGCGCCGCCGCCGAACAGCAGGCATTAAAAGCAAGCAAGCAGGCGCCTTCGCGCCTTCACATCTATCCTCGGCCGAACCTCCGGCCCAAGTCGTGACTAAACCGCTGCCCTCATTACAGCTCACTCCTGCCCTCCTGGATCACAAACCCGCACCGGTCCATGAAGAAATCGATCTTGTCGCCGCTCAGGTGCTTCGTCATCATGTCGGCGGTATTGAGCTCGTCTGGAACTTTATTCAACTTCGCCAGCTTCTCGTGGTAGATCGCCTGGACCCACAGGTACTGCGTGTGCAGGTGCCGCACCTTTCCGGCACCAAGCCTGAGCGCCATGCCGCGCCCGGCTGTCGCGTCCGTCTCGATGACCGGGCCTTTCGTCATGCCATAGTCCTTGCACATGCTTTGAGCGCCAAGTCCGACGCTCGCCCCTCGAACAATCGCGTAGAACTCCGACTCGCCGCTCGACAAGGCAATCACCGATTGTGTGTTGGCGGTCGCCTTGAGCAGGTGAGCTCCATGATAAAGTGCAACACCTGTGGTGCTCCTCCTTGTCAGCGCGCAGCCCGCGTGGTCTGAGTCACAGGCTACCGTGATCACGTCCGGCTCGACCTGCTGGACGAAACGCTGCACCATCCTCGGCCGGCGTAGCAAGTAGCGTCCGATCCTCTTCACCATCTCCATGGCCACCTCGGTCGGCTTGCTCATCCACCTGGCCGCTTCCTTCGCCGCGTAGAGCAGGTCGATCCTGTCCATCGCGAGGTAGTTGATACGCATGCAGACACTCCTGTACAGCGCCGCTTCTGCAGTACCAAGTGGAGGAGACTCGAGCAGCTCCTCCGCCGTCCTCTCGATGCCCGGCGACGTCACCGACTTGCTGCCCTTGTCGAGTCCGAGCTTCAGCTGGGTCGTGACGATCTCGACGTGGCGGGCGTCAGCCTCCCACTCCAAACGCGGAACGCCGGCCTCGGTCTTATTCAGCCTGCGGTCTTATTCAGCCTGACGATCCTGTTGAGCAGCGTGATCTCCCGCAGGTCGCCGTCATCCCAACCAAGAACTCCTCGAACCTTCACCAGCAATCGTTTGGACAGCTCGGTCTTGAACCACTCCAGGGCGTCGTCGTCGCCCTCGCTCACGAAGTCGTCCCCGTGGTAGAACGACAGGACGTCCTTCTCGTCGTGCCTGCACAGGCACGGACAGAATACGCCGCTGCGTCCCTCGCGCCGTACATGCTCTTGAGCAGCAGCGCGCAAAATCCTTCTCGGTGCCGTTCAGGAGGAAGTTGAACGAATGCTCGTCGGCGAGCGGGACTGTAGAAGTGCGCCCTACTGATATCGATGAACATCAGCTTGCGCCTCCGGCAGTCGCCCCGCTTCCGGCTCATCAACTTGCTGAACAACATCTTGACACCCTCCTGCGGCGGGGTCGCCGAGAACACGTCATCCCTGAAGATCCCGGCCTTCTGCTGCGCGCTCTTCAACTCCTTTGCGACCAACCTGCACCGCATCTCCGGGCGCTCCTCATCGCCCTTGTTGACGTCTACCCACTTGACCGGGATGGGCTTCGCCTTGGTCTCCTCCCAGCAGAGAGACTCCGGGACCTCCTGGAGTACCTCCATGTCGTCAATGTACTTGATCTCCTCCTCCCTGCCGGCCCGCGCCATCTTCGCATCCAGCAGCTGGCCCGAGATGTTGTCGCGGAACTCCTCGTACTCCTCCATGTCCCAGTTTACGGCATCCTCCTCGCAGGTGACGCCCACGGTGAACGCGCTCAGGTCGCCGTTGACCCTCAGCTGGG